GCGACGAACAGGTACAGAGTCAGTCAATGAGGGAGGTTTGTTAGTTATAGAGAGTGGAAGGGAGTAAGAGATGAAGAAGTGATCGGACACATGAAGTGGAGTTACAGAGAGGTTAGTGGTAGAGCAGTTTCTAGTAAAGATGTTGTCACGGTGATTGCCGGCTTTGTGAGCGGAGGAGAGGGACTGAGTGACAGAGCGAAAGAAGAAAGTAGGTGTAAGAGGTCAGATGACTTCTCTGTCTGGATGTTGAAGTCACCCAGGAGGATGAGCGGAGGTCCATTTTCAGGGAAATTAGACAGGAGAATGTCCAGTTCTTCCAAGAAATGACCTAAGGAGCCTGGCGGACGGTAGAGGACAACGATGGTTAATTGTACCGGGTGAGTGATTGTTACAGCAGGGAATTCAAAGGACAATGGGGTGGATAGTGGTAGAGGGTAAAGAGAAAAGCTCCATTTGGGTGAAAGGAGTAGACCTGTGCCACCACCCCTACCAGTGGGCCTGGGAGTGTGGCTGAAGTAGAAGGCGGAGGAGAGAGCGGTAGTATCTGCGTTGCGATACTACAGGCTGCGATAATGTTGTCATTCATATTGTTTTTCTAACATGTTGAATGTGTAAGTGGCCCCTGTCAGCATGATGGCCATTTTGCCCATTTGTGCTGTGCATATGAGGGGAGGACACATTTTTGTATTCCAAAGACAGAACTAATAAAAGTATTTATGGATACCTTTGTTTCAGGGTCCGTAACATGCACTCAATAGCAATCTTTTAACTGACTATTAACTGGTAGTGGGGACAAATTTCTCTCATAACGCCTTGTTGCTCTTTTCCAAATGATTTACTTATAAATGCTCACAGCCTCCTATTCACATCACTGTGATGGCCACTTAACACTTCATGTCTGAATAAGTTGTGACATTCCCCAATTAAAATCCTTCAGACGCAACTCAAGTCTGCATTGAATGCCAGTCAGCAGCAGCAGCAGCAGCAGCAGCACAAATGCAGTTAAATGTACCTGCCGCTCTGGCTCACTGTGGAATGCATCACCTAATTATCAACACGAAAATAATCATATTCATATACCATGAAACACTACCATTTGGATCATTTTAATTTGTTGGAGATTCCTCTCATGGCAGATTGGTTTGGCAGATTGGTCATGGCAGATTGGAAGTTCTTATTTGAGTTAAGGAGCGATACCACCATCAGACCAATACATAAAATGTGAAAAATGGGAGGTTTTAGGGAAAGTAGTGCTTGGGTGAGGCCTAAATGCTAAAATAGTTTTGTTTTTATTTCAACACTAAAAATGCTCAACAAAAGCAAACGAAGATTATTTCCCCAAACTATCACTAAACTCCACTCTTAAACAATGATGATGCCTCTTGAAAACACACTTGGTCTATAGCAATCAGTTGGGATGGACAATATCAAAATCCTCCCACATCCATGCTCCTTTAGGTTGAATTTACACGTTCCGACAACTGCACGTTTTTTTCAGTTGCACATTATGGAAAACATTCATGCTTCACATTTTAGTTTCATGAAATGTCATTGCACCTCACCCTGCAAAATGTTGATTTCCATCCACAGCCCTCCTTGGCGAGAGCTAATGCTTCAATTCTTAAGTTAACATTTACAGTCAAGATTTGATAGCAACTGTGACTCCGTGGCAGAGCAGAGTCTTCCTTCAGTTAGAGATCGCCCATTGCCGATTTGTCCTTGTCCTTGGACACTTAACCCCAATCTGCTCTGTGACTACGCTGTGTGGATGGTATGGATGTCAGTTAGTCCTGACGGGCCGGTGGCACCTCACGTGACAGCTCCTTGTTAACACTATATGAATTGGGAATTATGTTTTGTAGTGTGGTTGAAAGGGGGAATGGTTAGAAAGCACAAAACAAGTTCAGTCCATTTGCCACTGCCATGACCTTTAATCTAATTCATCAAATCCTGTAAATCTACAGTACAGTTGGTGTAGTGGAGGGAATTAGCCGAGTTTAGCAAAGTGGTCCTTGGCTTAAAATATACCATCGTATATTTGTGAAAATCTTAGTACGTCAATCATTGAAATGAGCAACAGCGTTTACCTACTGAGAGAGGGCGCCATCGAGCCACTAATAGTGTAACACATGGATTTACACAGTGTACCAACCTTTACTTCTCAAACTCAGTTCATCTGGGCATTTTGTAATACATTTTTCATTGTTAAAATGAAAATGAGGAGAACAGAAGCTTCATTAATAAAATATAATACATAACACAATAAGAATCATTACAGATGAGTTGTTTGGATTGAAAATAAACCTGTTCATATCTTAGAGGTGTTCTCCATCAAATGCTGCTCCCAATTGAAGTAGTAATGATCATATTCTAATTTGCAGTGCAATGTTATTTGATTCAACAATATTACAGAAAAGCGGTTTGGTGCAAATTGGCGTGAAGCCGGCCAGCCAGCTGCGCGTTAGGGTTCATATGTGTGATGTATGAGTAATGGAGAGAGAGCGAGAGAAGTCTTGGAGTGACGGTACATCATGATTTGTCAAAGTAGCTTTGTAGCGATGGCAGCAGTCTGGATGGCATTTTTAGGTTGTTCACCACTGTTCTAAAGCCATAAAATGTTGTTATTCATGGATCATGAATTCTTACTTGATCTTGACTTACTTCTCCTCTAGAGCGAGAAATTGGAAATGTATTTAGTACTTAGGTTTTTATTCTTGCCTTGAAAGGGCCAAAAATGTGCCATGTTTGAACTGTTTCTTGGACTTCATGTAAGAAAGTGGACGTATCAGCATCCCGGTTCTGGGACTGCTGTGTTCGAGCCTCTGACCAAGCAAACTCAGTGCTGACTCAGTGTTACAGCTATACAAATATTTCATTAAACATCCTGTGTGTTATGGTGCAAATTAAAGCAGACGTTTAACCAGATAAGGTTGAAGCAGCTTCTCACTAAATTATTGAAATACTCTCTGGTTGATTAAGTTGATATGTTTTATTTTCATTAAGCATTCAGCAAATAAAATGAGTTGGTCAAATGAACATCAGCTGCCTTTGTAGCACAAAGACTATCCTCTCAGATAAGCAACATGATGGTGTGATGACAAATATTTTGGTACAACCATTAATTGGTTCACAAATGTGCATAGTCAAATACAAGGGTGCACTTCTATACACACTATGTATAATACAATTAACGCTGGTAAAGGAAAATCAGCAGGCTTATCGGTTTACTGACGTAGAATCCACTATCATGCTACATTACTGTGCTATTGGTTATCTGGGTGGTTACTCCAACAATTTAAAATCCAATTTAGAAAACTATTTACTAGCAGTTGGCTTGAGAGCATTAGTTGGCTGCCGGCACTGGATATGCAATAGTACGCAGGTTAAAAACACCTGCTTATGAAGGAGGGTAGTGCTAATTCAGAGGTTTCTCTGCTGTTGTGAACGGTGATGTGGTGGATCTGCATTATCTGCATAATAACTTGTAATTTCCCTGTCCACCCACACACACACACACACACACACACACACACACACACACACACACACACACACACACACACACACACACACACACACACAGCAGTTTAGCATTTATTAGGTTCCATTTTCACTGCCACGGTTGCCAGGAGTCCACATTCCATAAGTACATTGCTGCACAAATCAGAATGATGTTGTGATCCATCTCAGAGGAGATAATCTAAAGACGTGTGGAAGCAGTTTGAAAACCATTAAACGATAAATGTATCAAGGAAAGCAAGATTTGATGATTATCCCAGTTTGCCTCTTGCAAGTGCTGAGAGGAAACACAAAGTCCTCTGACTTTTAGCAGCCTTTTGCCAAACAGAGAAACTTTACCACTGTGTAAGGCTCTACTCTGGTTAACTTTTCAAAGGCAAAAAGTTTGTTGTGTGGTTGTTGAGTCTTCAAAATTCAGTGGAAGTTCAGATGATTTATCTGGATGCTCTAATCAATTACTTACATGTTGTATCCTCCCAGCAGTCCTGTCAACCTTAGCAAGAACACGTATATTCACAAGAAGTCCAGGTTTCCTCGGGTCAGATACAGAGAATTAGGACCTCACAGTACCGCAAACTGGCATGTCAACGTGGGAGTTATTACCTCATTTAGCAGAGTAAAACCCATGTACATACAATAGAGGCTTCAGTGTCATGGCTCTCTGGGCTTGGTCCAAAGGCTTTGTGGAACTTCACGTCATGGAGACTGGCCTTGGGTGAGACGAGGTACAACCTGGATTGGTCGCCAGTCATTCGCAGGGCTGACGGAGAGACAAATGACCATTCACACACACATACACTGTGGCAGGAAGCTGGAGTAACCAGAGAGAACCCAACACACAGAAAGCCTGCTGGTTGGAGTCAAACCCAGGACAATCTCGCTGAGAGGCAACAATGCTAAACACCACACCACATGCCACCCAAAAATAAAATACTATATTATTATACATATTATATTTACATACATTTGTGTAAATGTGGATTTATGTAGTAAGAAAGAAATTGTCTCTCAATAATCATCTTTCCTTCAGACCCTTTGAAGGGAACAAGCTTCTCTAGTGGGTGAGGAAGCTACTGGACTGACTAACCGTAGAACCTTACAGAACCGCCTCATCCATTTAGTACATTCAGTCTCTTCACTTTTCACGACTTCTGATCTCCTCAGAACAATGTGCTAACCAAAGTGAACACTTCCTCAATTCTGATCCGTGATTTCCATCTCAGATATCTTGTGGTGAGCTGTAACATTGGCTGTTGAACAGGATGCATATTTTCTAAAAAAAATGCCACAACAATAGAATTAAATACACATTTCCTTCTTGCTTCTCCAGACAGCTTGCAGAACCAGCTTTGCCTGTCGTTTGTCCCATAGTTTAGCCACTAGCCTTTAAAAGTATAAAAGCCAGAGGAACCAGGGGGGATGCAGGACAGCAGCAGCACACAGAGGTACACTGCCAAAAGACGTGCAAACGCAGAGACAAAATGAAAGGTGTTGTCGCCTTCTTGCTTGGGATTGGTTACCTGGCTATCACCGATGCTGGTAAGTACATTTTATAACAAGAATAAATCAGATCGGATTTGGTTTTCTTTTAACTGATCTTTGTTTTCCCCTCCTGATCATTTTGCTTCTGCACCCTGGCACCCTGGCGCCGAGGCTCCACGGCTTAATAATGTTCTCCAGGTTGATGCCGGCCTAGGGAAAGTGGTCGTAAGAGACGCACACTCTAATGCGTATTTCCTGACTGGATTGAATTGGAACAGACTGAGCACGATCAGATTAAAGCACGTCACAGTGGGACCTGCAGGACTCTGGGGAGTTGGCATCAATAACAAAGTCCACAAATACGTAGCAGGCACCTTTAAACCATCCACTGGTAACTACTACTACTTACCAACCATTATTAACAGTTAAATGTACTGTGTAACATTGTGCACTACACTACAGCTCTTCTTGTTCCCAATCAACGTTTTTGCACATTTACAGTACTTTACAGCACTCACATGGAACAGCTGAAATGTACTGTGTGTCTCCAGGTCTGTCTATGCTTCAAGTGGACGCGGGACATGATCAGGTAGTGGGAGTTTCTCCCTCCTCCATCGCTTACTGCCTGAATAGCAGGATCACTTTGTCCTACAGAGGAGTGGGCTCCCTGTCCTGGAGATCCCTGTCCAGGAGGTTGAAGTACAGCAGCTGCGGCCCACTGGGATGCTGGGGAGTCGACACGAACGACCGGGTCCTCTTCACACAGGTCAGCAGCGCTACAGAATTCTCTCCGTGTTGTTGGCGGTACTGTTAGAACAGGTGAAGCATACACCTCCATCGATGGTGACATAGAGTCTGTGATTGCTTGTAATCACAGAACGTGAAGCCCAGCACCTGCAGCCCATCCGGCTGGAGAATGCTGCCCGGGAGTCTAACAATGATTGAAGTGGGGACTGACGGGAGGGTTTTTGGAGTGAACAAACAAGGCAATGTCTATGAAAGGTAAGCAAGTCCACAAAAAAGTGTTGACATCTTGCATTTATGCGCAGTAAAAGGATTTTAAAATGATTTAATGAATGAAGTTTGATAAGGTGTGCATGTAAAAGTATGGCTTCTAATTACAGCACCTAGTCAATGTTTATTTATTAAGATATATGTCTAAATATCACAAATGGGAAGCAAATTGTCATTTGTGTTCATATCAGTCTGCTGATAAAAACGTTTGAATATTATTAATATCTCTTTCTTTATTTTTTTATATTCCTCTAACTTTTTGTCACTAGAACTGGCATTTCCACAGCTCGCCCATTTGGATTAAACTGGGTCCACATACCAATGTGCATGGCAATGCGCCACGTGAGCTACGACCTGGGCAAACCTTGGGTTGTTAGCAAGTCCGGTTTGATCATGCACTGCTCATCATAATGCTGCGTGTGAGGCAGACACCTGATGTGCACCAACCTGCAACGTAGTGGTGAGGATCTCCTTCAACTGCATTTCAATGCTTTGAAGTACTATCCTTTTTTCAGGAGACGGTACACAAAAAGGAATGAGCAGAGTTTACATTTCTTTCTAAAACTTAAAGCTGTCAATCTCTGTCATCTCTGTCACATCGGGGTTATTACGCTACTTCTTATTTTGGCAACAGTGAATATAAAGGCTGCAATAAATAATTGATTCTTAGAAGCAATATGAGACTTTTGTAAAAAATGAATAACATAAAGAAGAATGAATTCTCTTAATTAAAATGTATTGTAACATTGATAGTAAATGAAAATAACAAATGAACGGTGTAAGAACATAATACATCTTTTTAAGATTATCAATCATGTATCACCTCCTCTTCCAAGTTGTCATATTTTCTATTTTCTTCTTTTTAATAAATCATCAGTTAAGTCATTTTGTTGCTAGGCTGTGGTTTCATCGCCTGGTCAGTGAGCTTGTAAACCAAGCTCAGTATGTGCTTCCCCAATAAATCTCGTGAATTGAAGGATCTGAATCTCCAGTGTGTTCTGTGGGTGCGTGGGTCACTGAAAGTTCCCGGTCTGTGGGGGTGTGTGGTGCCCCACCGCTAGATAGAAGTTAGAGAATACTTATGAAGTAGTTAAAACTGCAAACAATGAATTCCCAACATTGTGAAAAAAGACAAATTCCACTAGTTCTAAGCATGTAAGTGTGAACGTTCTATAAGTGGAAAGAACTTTTATACTGCTTAAACCTTTGCGTGTTGAGGGTCATCTATGTGTGAATGGATCATTGGATACTGAACACCACGGCCAAACAATGACGGTAGGCTGTGAAGGGAATCTTGTTGGCAGGAAGCCGCTTTGTGGTCGTTTTAGAAGAAGATCGCAGCAACATGTTCCACCACTGTAACACCGCTAAAGCAGTCTTCATTTTTGTCCTGTAACGTTATTTCACTTTTATTGTCTGTGTTGTTATCTGGCTGTGAAAGGCTATGAGCTTACCTTCTAATGCGTTACACAGCACTGTGCCAAATCCTTATTATGATTCACTGCCCAGAGCTGGAAGACACGTCTGTATTTACCTAAAATGAATGTTGTAAATGATAAGTGATGCATTAATTCTGATCACTTCTGGTGTTAATGGCTGAGATGATTAATACTAGTGAGCAGCCTCCTGCAGTACATTTTGTGGTTATTGGGGTATATTCGGGTGGTGGTTGTTGGTAGTAATTTCATAATGGTTTGTTGCAATTGGCAATGTTCATGGTAGAAAAGCACAAATCCTGGTTTCAACTGGAGTCACAGTAAGGGACACGATGTGGTAGTGTGGAGGGACACATTTGTAAGAATAGAACACGTTTTGAAACTAATGAGGATTTTTCGCCGTGTATGCACATTTTTATGTTGTTGACTCCTTGGTGAGATTCCTCCTAATGAAGTGCAAGAGACAGTGTAAGTAAGAAATCTTTTATTTTAATGTCAAATTAGACCCCGTATGTTCCAGTACCATTGCTGTTAAATAGTATAGTATATCAAACTATACTTTTTTGAATCATTTGTTATGTATAAGTATTGGTAAAACTTAATTTTGAAAATCAATAGATCAACAGGTGATAATGTTTTCTTGATTACCAGCTTCACCTTGTGTGACTTGTGTGTTTGTGTCATCATGACAGAGTACAGACCAGCAGGAACTCAACCCATGAATGATCCAATAAAGTACAGTTCTCAACATGGTCCGCCGTGGCGCGTGGAGTAGAGCCGGGAACCGTAAGGTTGGCGGTTGGAAGCCTAAACCATGTCACATATGGAAGTGTCCCTGAGCAAGACACCCAACCTCTAACTGCTCCTTACGGCTGCACACTACTCCCACTGTGTGGGATAGGTTGAATATGTAAAACAGTTAAAAATACAATGTAAGTCACTTTGGCTAAAAGCGTCAGCTAAATAACCTGTAATGTAATGTGGGCATGAAGAAATCCTTGGGTTTACATAATGAGCAGTTGTGATACAAGATTGCCTGTGTAAAACAAAAATGAAATGATTGAAAGACAGAAAGTTTTGTCCACCCTTTTCAACTTCTGGGAAGGAAAGAACATATTTATGAATATAGACAGAAGAATAGATAAGTGAGAACAACCAATCCCATCCAAGCACATTCTTTGTGTAGTATTACTTTTTTTGCCAACGGCAGTTTCCTTTACAACATTAGAATATTAGTAAGCTGCTGTATGCAGAGCCGCGACAAACGTGTGCGTCGCTCTGAAACCTCTTTTAAATGTTTTTGTTCCCTGGACACAAACCAGTGAGAGCCATTACAGAGGAGTTCCACAGAATGGCAAATGAATAAAATATATTATAGGTCCAATACCATTGTACCAGTTTTTACCAGCGATATTATTCTTGTGATTAAATATGAGCATGGGTGTGTATTTCAAGCCTGTACAATGCACTACACGTGCATTCTAACGAACAGTGTAAAAACTGGGAATTAGTAAAACGTATGGATTATGATTAGTGTGTAAATGAAACATTAACTGACACTATATTGGAACTTACAGCAATTCTCTCCCACACTGTTTCTCTTTGTCTTTTGGTGCTGTAGCGTTTTTTTGTCTAGTTACGGGTTCATACTCGCCATACGCTTGCATTAATATTTCCAGCTCAATAGGGATAAATAAATTGTTCGTTGTGGTTGCCATGGTAAATTGTAGTATCATGGCTCCATTTATCCTGCCTTCATACTGTGGTGGTGCACGCACTACTCCAAGTTGATTGAACCAACTCTGAACAGCTGTTCTGAAACCAAAAGCTCAGAGTTTCCCATCTCAGGGTAAATTAACTCAGAGTTTAGGGTTCGACACAGAATTTGTTAAACCTCCTACTTGAAACGGACCCCTTGTCCCGCAATGCGCTTTAACACAAGGCGTGATCAGTCACTCATTCATACACTGATGCCAGGGACTACCATCTAAGTTGCCACCTGCCCATTAGGACTATACTTACTAAAAATACACTGCCGGCACAGCCTGAGAGAGAAATGTGTGGGTGACCAAAGTCACATTGACATGGACTAGCAGGGAATCAAACCGCCGATGCTCTGATTGAAGCACGTCACAGTCTAAAGTCATAAACAGTAATGAGCTGGCTGTGTTTTTTTAATTTAACCACAAACACTGCTACGAAAGGCTGACATGCTATTCTGTCTCAACAAGCAAGCAAGCAGTAGCATAGTTACATGATTTTTAAGCATTCTTTAATAATAATTAATTATAATTAATAATTAGATTGCCTACAGTTGGTTTAATACCACGGTCAACCAATCACAGACAGAGGAGGGCGGGTCTTAACGTCCGGGTCACTAAGGTCTTCCTGCCACTGCTCTGCAATGTGTTCCCATGGCGGCTGAGAACTCTCCCGACCCTCCCGTGAACTATACGTTCATGCACATCTCACGGTGGCTCCATAGGTAAAGTCGTCTGTTAGCCCTGGTACCTTCTCCGCCCTGTTAGCCCTGGTTCCTTCTCCGCCCTGTTAGCCCTGGTACCTTCTCCGCCCTGTTAGCCCTGGTTCCTTCTCCGCCCTGTTAGCCCTGGTACCTTCTCCGCCCTGTTAGCCCTGGTACCTTCTCCGCCCTGTTAGCCCTGGTTCCTTCTCCGCCCTGTTAGCCCTGGTACCTTCTCCGCCCTGTTAGCCCTGGTTCCTTCTCCGCCCTGTTAGCCCTGGTACCTTCTCCGCCCTGTTAGCCCTGGTTCCTTCTCCGCCCTGTTAGCCTATTAGCATGAACAGGTAGGAACAGCCACCAGTTGTGTGGCGGCACCACGCTCTGACGCATACGCTAATTAGTAATGGGTTACCCACACGTTTTTGATAGTCCACTTTAACTTCTACTCATTAGATGAAACAAAGTAGTAGCAGTTTAAAGCCTACCATATTAAGTATATGTTACATACAGGTGGAAGAAGCTGCTGTCAATCAATTAAAACGCAGTAACGGGCGTTCCGGGATTCACCTCACTGCCACAAACTCTCATTATCGTGAGTATTGTTTTTTCTTTCTTCCCTATAATCAAAAATGAATCGTTTTTCATGGCACCTAATGTAGAACCTCGTCCCTCCAGCCGTCCCCAGAAGCTACAGCAGCCCTCCCCATGGAGGCGGGAGCGCACAGGTGACGGATTTGAGGTGCTACACCGCCACCTGTTGTCCCGCGCAGGCGCTGCAGTCCCCCTGCTGAGCGCCACACGGGCGCGTCCGCCGCCGCTTTCCCTCAACCCGAAGCAGAGCTGTTTTTCTCTCTCCTCTCGGATGACAGCCGTCCTCTGCGCGCTTCAGCAGCACATTTAAGGAGGGATCAGAACTGCTTTTTTTCCGTGGCTGTGTTTCGCCTTGGTCGGCATTAGTGGGGAAGAAGAGCTGCGGTGAAAGGAGAGAGACAGAGAGAGACTCCCGTCTCCAGCTGCTGGATACCAGGTAAGATCCTTTACCGTTCATTTACCAGGAGAAAGGTGTCACGTTGCCACCGGCAGAGAGGCTTGTGGGGACGGAAGATAGAGATTGTTGCAGAGACAGCGCACCTGCTCCAAATGATGTAGGGTGTAAATAAATATGCTGTCGGATCAGCAAGGTGGCCAAGTGATTCCCTGCGAAGTGGTGATCTTGGTTATGTTATCATCACAAGGCTAGTAACAAGAGTTGTTTTCAAAATAGATTTGGTTTCTCTAAATGCGCATTTTAATACAACTTTGTTCAATTTGATACTGCCTTTTGCATATAAACATTGAGATAAGTCCAGATTAAAATACTTTACAGCTAGTGTAGTTAACCCTCCGGTAGACTACATCCCTGCAGTGTCCTTTTCTCTGCCTCCTTTGATAACGACAAACTTCATGTGAAGCTGCACTCGGCGGGAACTCTTGCACCTCCACACCGAGCGGCAGGCTTTGTCCACCACATGTCTGGGAGATCCCTCTATGCTGAGGATGCTGGTACAGGGTTTCTCCTTTCTGTCACAGAAGTATTACTGGTAGGGACCATTGTCTGAGGTCTGTCTTTTACGAGACACAGATCTAGATCAGGGCACGTGCTAATCTATTTAGTATCACTCAAAGCCCGGCTGTCACGGATGCCTGCAACATTTTTAATAATAGATGGCTGACTAGATTTGCGTGCTCGCCGCATTGATTTTTGCTGTTTTGAGGCTGTA